TATTTTCAAGTGCACATGGAACATTCTCCAGAATAGATCACCTATTAGACCACAAAACAAGCCTCAAAAAATTTTAAAAGATCGAAGTCATACCATGCATCTTTTCTGAACATAACACTATGAAACTAGAAGTCAACCACAAGAAAAAATCTGGAAAGATCATAAATACATGGAAGTTAAAAAAGATTCTACCAAACAATGAATGAATCAGCCAGGATATAACAGAAAAAATAAAGAAATACATTGAAACAAATGAAAATGAAAAGACAATGGTCCAAAACCTTTGGGATGCAACAAAAGCAGTTCTAAGAGGAAAGTTTATAGCAATACAGGCCTCCCTCAAGAAGCAAGAAAAATCTCAAATAAACAACCTAACCATACATCTAGAAAAGCTAGAAAAAGAACAACAAATGAAGCCTAAAGACAGCAGAAGGAAGGAAATAATAAAGATTAGAGCAGAAATAAATGATATATAGAAATTTTAAAAAACAATATGACAGATCAATGAAACCAGGAACTGGTTCTTAGAAAAATTCAATAGTATTGGTAAGCCTCCAGCCAGACTCATCAAGAAAAAAACAGAAAAGACCTAAAAAAAAAAAAAAAAATCACAAATGAGAGAGGAAAAATAACAGCCAACACCACAGAAATACAAACAATTATAAGAGAATATTTTGAAAAATTATATGCCAATAAATTAGACAATCTGGAAGAAAATTTCTAGAAACATATAAACTACCAAAACTGAAATAGGAAGAAATAGAAAATTTGAACAGACATCTGATAACCAGCAAAGAAATTGAATCAGTAATCCGAAATCTCCCAGCCAACAAAAGTCCAGGGCCAGATAGCTTCACAGGTGAATTTTACCAAACATTTGAAGAATAGTTACTGCCTATTTTTCTCAAACTATTCCAAAAAATAGAAATGGAAGAAAAACTTCCAAACTCATTCTCTGAGTCCAGCATTACTCTGATTCCAAAACCAGACAAAGACTTCACTAAAAAACAAAACTACAAGCCAATATCTCTGATGAACATGGATGCAAAAAGTCTGAACAAAATACTAGCAAATTGAATCCAACAGTACATTAAAAGAATAATTCACCATGATCAAGTGGGATTTATTCCTGGGCTGCAAAGGTAGTTCAATATTTACAAATCAATCAATGTGATACACTACATTAATAAAAGAAAGGATAAGAATCATATGATCCTCTCACAAGGTGAAGAAAAAGCACTTAACAAAGAACAACATTCATTCATGATAAAAACCCTCAACAACATAGGAACAGAGGGAACATACCTCAACAAAATAAAGATGATATGTGAAAAACCACAACTAATATTATCCTTGATGGGGAAAAACAGAGCTTTTCCTCTACAGTCAGGAATAAGACAGGGATGTCCACTCTCACCTCTGTTATTCAACATAGTACTGGAAGTGTTAACCTCAGCAGATAACAAAAAGAAGTAAAAAGCTTCCAAATGAGCAAGGAAGAAGTCAAACTTTCACTATTTGCAGATAACATGATACTCTATATAGAAAACTCAAAAGACTCCATCAAATAATTGCTAGAGCTGATACATGATTTCAATAAAGTCGCAGGATACAAAATGTACAGAAATCTGTTGCATTTATATACACCACTAATGAAGCAGCAGAAAGGGAAATCAAGGAATCAGTCCCATTTACAACTGCACCAAGAAGAACAAATATTGTGAAAATGTCCATACTGCCCAAAGCAATCTATACATTTAATGCAATCCCTATCAAAATACTACCAGCATTTTTCACAGAACTAGAACAAACAATCCTAAAATTTATATGGAACCACTAAAGACCCTGAATAGCCACAGCAATCTTGAAAAAGAAAAGCATAGCTGGAGAGATCACAATTCCAGACTTCCAAGTTATATTACAAACCTGTACTGATCAAAACAGTATGGTACTGGCACAAAAACAGAAACACAGATCTATGGAACAGAATAGAAAATCCAGAAATAAACACACAACTTTATGGTCAACTAACATTTGACAAAGCAGGAAAGAATATCCAATGGAAAAAAAAGACAGTCTCTTCAACAAACAGTGTTAGAATACTGGACAGCAACATGCAAAAGAATAAAACTGGACTACTTTGTTTTACCACACACAAAAACAAATTCAAAATGGATAAAAGACCTAAATATGAGACGTGAAACCATAAAAATCCTAGAAGAGAACAGCAGCAGTAACTTCCTTGACATAGGCCGTAGCAACTTTTTCTAGATAGGTCCTCTGAGGCAAGGGAAACAAAAGCAAAAATAAACTATTGGGACTACATCACAATAAAAAGTTTCTGCAGAGTGAAGGAAACAATTAACAAAACTAAAAGGCAATCAATGGGATGGGAGAAGATATTTGCAAAGATATATCCAGTATGGGGTTAGTATCCAAAATATATAAAAAACTTACACAACTCAACACACACCAAAAAACCTACAAATAATCCAATTTAAAAATGGGCAGAAGACATGAACAGACATTTCTCCAAAGAAAACATACAGATGGCCAAGAGACACATGGAAAGATGCTCAACATCACTCATCACCAGGGAAATGCAAATCAAAACTACAGTGAGATATAACCTCACACCTGTCACAATGGCTAAAATTAACAACACAAGAAACAAGTGTTGGTGAGGATGTGGAGGAAAGGGAACACTCAAACACACTGTTGGTGGGAATGCAAACTGGTGCAGCCACTCTGGAAAACAGTATGGAGCTTCCTCAAAAAGTTAAAAATAGAACTACAGTATGATCCAACAATCACAGTACTAAGTATTTACACAAAGGTTACAAAAACACTAATTTAAAGGGATATATGCACCCTGATATTTATAACAGCACTGTTTACAATAGCCAAATTATAGAAAGAGCCCAAATGTCCAACAATTGATGAATAGATAAAGAAGATGTGGGAGATACACACACACACACACACAATGGAATATTACTCAACCATCAAAAAGAATGAAATCTTGCCATTTGCAATGATGTGGATGGAGCTAGAGAGTATAATGCTAAGCAAAATAAGTCAGTCAGAGAAAAACAAATACCATATGATTTCACTCATATGTGGAATTTAAGAAATAAAACAAAGGAGCAAAGGGAAAAAGAGAGAGGAACAAACCAAGAAATAGACTCATAAATCTAGAGAACAAACTAGTGGTGGGGGGATGGGTGAAATAGGTAATAGGGATTAAGGAGTACATTTGTGATGAGCACCAGTTGATTAAAGAAAAGCTTTTTTTTTTTTAAAGATTTTATTTATTTATTTGAGAGAGAGAATGAAATAGAGAGCATGAGAGGGGGGAGGGTCAGAGAGAGAGGCAGACTCCCCGCTGAGCAGGGAGCCCGATGTGGGGCTCGATCCCGGGACTCCAGGATCATGACCTGAGCCGAAGGCAGTCGCTTAACCAACTGAGCCACCCAGGCGCCCTAAATAAAAGCTTTTTTAAAAAGTATATAATCCTACCAAAAATAAATATATATCAAGCTAAAAAATTAAATAAAATAAATATTAATGTGTAATGAAGGAATTGGCCTTCACTGTTTATAATTATTTGGAAACATTTTGTTTTTAGCTTATACTCTTTGTTCCAGGAGAGAATGTTATGTGAGCTTCACATTTTAGCAACAGTGTCCATGTATAATTCCCCAGAACCACATGTAGAGATATTTTATTTCAGATCTAATGCCCGAACAAGCCATTGAATCAATGACTTCAAATAACCATTACTGTCACTATCATTTGACCACCCACTGCAAATCAACCTCATCTCCTGGGAAACAGTAGAATAATTCTACTGTATGTATATGATAAAATGGAGCTCTGGAGGAAAAGGTTTAGGATCATCACTAATGCCCATCTATCTTAAAAGCTAACTGAATCACATTAAGCTTTTGCTCCATATGGATATATTTTAGAAATTAGTTTGACCTGAATGTTAAGAATATGAGCAAAATCTGCTATCTTTGTGTTTGGAATACATATTTTATGATTATCTTGTTATGCTAACCTATGGGTTATGTGCTTCTCTTGGATGTACCAATTTCACAGCAGATCTCAAAGGTCATACACCAGCCCCTCCCACTCAGATTTATTTCTTCCTTTACCATTTTCTTCTAGCCTTTGTTGCTTCCATGACCTTCTGGCTTTCCTTATGGATTTACTTGGCTAATATGAGATAAAACAATAGTATAACCTGGTGGTTAAGGGCATGGGCTTTAGAGAACTAGATTTGAACCCTGGCTCTGTGCTCTAGCTGTGTGATTCGGAACATGTCTTATAATCAGTCTGGACATAATTATCTTCACCCATAAAATTAGGATGATATCCACCTTGCAGTTATGTTGCAAAAATTCTTATGGGGACATGTATAAAGAGCTTAACACAGTGCCAGGATCACTATTATTATTAGCATTTTTATTACACCTTTGCCAAGAGCCAAATGGGCAACTTTCTGGCCCAAATATTGCAGCAAAAAGGAAGAGTAAGTCATCAGCAGAGAGCTGCCAGGACTGGAAGCTATGAACCATCCTTTATACTGGTGACTGAACTTCTACCTGTACTCCAAAGCATTGTGTAAGTCACTGGGAATACAGAGGAGCATATGGAATAGTCTCAGCCTTGAAGAAGCTTATAGCCTTTAGAAGAAGAATTACCACACATAAAAAAACAAGTAGTAAGTAAATAAATAGGGGAGAAGAGACAAACATCCCTTGCAGAAGAATTCCCAATAATTTTTGTAGCTGTTCTGCCCTCAAGGAGGTTGAACATAACTCCCCACTCCTTAAGTGTGGGCTGCACATCATGACATCCTTCCAAAGAGGACAGCATGGAAAGGGGGTATAAAAGAGTAACTTTAGAGTAGAGAAACCTGACAAACACCATCTCAGCCACATGACCAAGGTCAATGTCAACAGTAATAATTCATGTTGATAGGATATACATACCCTTGATATGATGTGATGAGAATGTTACTTCACCTCTGTGGCCCTCCTCCAAAAACCATAACCTCAACCTAAGGTGAGAAAAACATCAGACAAATCCCCATTGAGGGACACTGTACAAAATATCTGACCAGTACTCTTCAAAATTGTCAGGGTCATCAAAATAAGGAAAATCTGAGAAAGCTTCACAGCTAAGAGGAGTCTAAGTAAATATGTGCAGATTAAATGTAATGTGGTATCCTGTATAGGGTCCCGGAACAGGAAATGGACATTAGGTAAAAACTAAGGAAATCTGAATAAAGTATGGGCTTCAGTTAATCATAATGTGTCATACTGGTTCATTAACTGTGACAACTATACCATACTAATACAAGATGTCACTAATAGGGAAAATTGGGCGTGAGATAATAGGAACTCTGTATTATTGATTTTACTGTAAACCTAAAACTGTTCTAAAATAAAAAGATTTTAAAAATCAGTACAAGAGGGAGACAGCGGGCTGGTCTGTAAACCATGTGACTCTTGATCTCAGGGTCGTGAGTTCAAGCCCCACCTTGGGCATGGAGCTTAATTAAAAAAATAGTAATAAAATACAAATAAATAAATATCACTACAAGGGAGCAAATGATAAGATAGAATGTGATTGATTCATTCATTCAACAAATATTTCTTGAGTGCCCATTATGTGCCAGACACTGTACTGGGAACTAGGGGTACAGCAATCAAAGAGAGATCAAAGAGAGGAAGACTCTTGATCTTGAGAAGCTTACATGGGATGTATGCTGGGCCTTAGAGAACAAATTTATGTTCCCTGTCACAGCTTTCCTTGCTCAGGAGGGAAGTCTCGGTGGCACTTCAGTGGCCAATGTGACCTCTATTATTTCTTTTTAAATAGGGGCAAATGTGATCCATTCCATAGTTTAGCAGTGAGAGGTGAAAAGAACTTGCTAAGAAAGGATGGGTCCTGGAACAGCAGAGGGACAGCTGAGAGGCAGCCAGTGTTTCCTAAGGCCTCCCAGACGCCAGAGAGATGGCATAACCCTCAAAGCCAATATATGCCTGGGGAGCATTTGCCCAATCACAGCAAGTGGCCAGGGGAAGGTCCCTTCCAATCACTTGGTCTGATCCCCTTCACTTTATAGGAAAGGAAAGTGAATTCCAGAAAAAGAAAGTGATTTCTAGTGGTCATAGGGCTATCTCAGAATCAACTTTTTTCTTCTCCAAGTTTTTATTTAAATTCCAGTTAACATACAGTGTAATATTAGTTTCAGGTGTAGAATTTAGTGTGCATCAACTCTTTGATTTTCACTCCTCAGAAGCTGTAGACATTACGTTGCTAGAAATCATCAAAAACCAAAAGGCTGGATGTACATACTTGCTTAGTATTAGATGTGAACAAAAACAATCAGAAAAACTAGATCTAGCAAAAAACATCAATGTAGTAGAATAACATAGGTGATGGGAGCTTTCTTTCAAAGTGATTATGGTCTACAACCAACCATAAGAGCCTATGGGATACTTCAGGATAAACGTACACTTTCCTAAAGGGAAAAAATTCACTTTAAGGTCACTGTAACAGAAATAAAACCAAATTACTATGTATTGTATTAGCTAAGTAAGTTTAAAAGGGAGCTAAACTAGTGTAGGAGGTGGGACAGGACTGATACTCCTTTTAAAGATAAAAATAAAAGACCAACAACGAAAGTATAAAAACTTCCAGATGACACCAGATTCATACTTAGGTAAAAACAGAACAGAGAGAGGACCTGTAAACTAAGAGCTTATCCATATACGTAATGAGCCAAATCTAATCAGATAACCATACCATTCTTGAGAAACTCTTTTGAGCTGTCAGCAGCATCCTGAAGCCTAAAGATGCCACCTAGGGGATTAGTTTTAGATGTAGTTCACTCCCTTAACAAGGTCAGCCCATTCCACACAAAGTTAGATCAAACAGCATACTTGGGAAAAATTACTTTTGAAATTGAGTTTTCAATTCTTCTGTTAAGGACTGTCTTTAAACAACCATCAGGCCAAAAGATGCTTCCATGTTTTATCCGGGAAATACAGTAGGCATATTTTTGATGGAATTTTAATGAAAGGATAATGAAAAACTAGAATTATTAGCTTAACCTCTAACATTGAGCTAAGTATTACGTACCCTGGACAGCCCATTAGAATCACCTGGGAGCTTTAAAAAGTTCTAATACCCTGGTCCCATCCCAGACCAATTACATCTCAGGGATGGCGTTCAGGTTTCAATACAGTTTTAAAGCTCCCCAGGTGATTCCATTGTGCAGCCCAGTTAGGAATCCACTGCCCTGCAGGGAGTTAGTCTAAATATTGAATATCAAATTGTCTTAATTAAAGCAGGGTAAACTAACCAGGCTCTCAGGAGTATAATAACCGGAAATGTCACCCAATTGAATACAAAACTGTAATTTTAACAATTTGTCTTTTTAAGTCAAACACACCCAGATTTCTTTGTTTTTCCCTCTCCAGACATTTCCACAGCAGATAAAACTACCTCTCAAGTTCAGATAGTTTTTCCTCATTTTACTTATGGTGAGTATGAGATACAAACTAAGTGAGAATGAGCAATCTCATCCCCACTCCCCCACCCTCCTTGGTTGGCCTTTCAAACCAGAAAAATAAGCGAAGAATAACTTCTCTTAAATGTTTCAAAACAAAATAATTAAAATTGTATCTTTGGGTAAACAACCATGAAACTCAATGAGATATTTCCTTTATTTTTTAATAGTCACAGACTTAGGGTCAGTCATGGAAATAGCTGCATAGTTTTGACTCTGCCAAACGGTTCAGTGAAATTACATCACAGGAGGGTTGTGCCCTGTGGGAGTCCTGAATAGCATGCACCCCTCTGGCCATTCAGGCACCTGCCTGCTGAGCTGTGGAGTGGTAGCTTTTTTCCAGGATGTGAACTCTCCCTCATTATGTAGCATCATGACAATTTGCCCAGCCTAATTGGGAGGCGATTACCCAACGCTGGTTGAGAACACCCAATAAGCAATAATGAAAAAGACAGCTTTAATAGTCCTGAAGGCTTGAAATTTCTCCCAAGAAAAATATCAGGGGAGGTGGCTAGATTACTGGGTTTCTAAGAAAAGGGTAACTCTCTGCCATGGAAGAGATTAAATCTTTAAAGCAGCCATGAAAATAAGAATAAAAAACCTTCCAGCCAACAAATGTTATTTAACGAGTCTCTTTCTCTCCAGAAGACATTCAAATAGTAAAGGGAATGAAATCAGCACTCCCCAGTTGCCTGGTACAAATACTGACTCATTCCAGATGGAGAGAATAGTTGTAAAACCACTACAATATTTGGATTCCAGGTGATGGTGGTATGTTTCTTTCCTAATACAAATGTGTGAGAATACCACTAAGCAATAAAAAGGAAGGCACACATGCTACAACATGGATAAGCCTCAAAAACACTATGCTCAAAGAAGTTGTACCATCCCATTTATAGAAAATGTCCATAAAATGCAAATGCTTAGACAGGAGACAAATCAGTGTTGCCCAGGGTTGAGGGTGGGTAAGGGAACTGTCAATGATGACAAGGGATCCTTTTGGGAGTAACGGAAATATTCTAAAACTGGCTTGTGGAGATGGTTGCACAACTCTGTAAACTCACTGAAAATCATGCATTTTACACTTAAAAGGGATGGATTTTATGGCATGTAAATTATGGGTTATTTTCTGGACTAAAATAAAATGCTATTCTTTGGATAAAACAAAACAAAAAAAACCACAAAACTATTTGGAAAACAAAAACAAAAACAAAAAACCAGCATCCTGCCACCTCTCCTGGGTCTGGAGGTAGTTCCTAGGCTGCCATGGAAGTCACTTGTCTGTCACACTCCCTGTGAATTCCGCTCTTTCTCCCATTTCCACCTGTTAAAAGTTACCAGGATGAGGGAGGACACATTACCAAATCGGAGATTCTGTGCAATCACAACAGACCACAGGTCTGGGAATTTGGAAAGGCAATCAAGCGTAAATCCTTCCTGATCTAGAAAGGAAGAAAGGGCAGATACAATGAGGGGCCCGGGCCACCTCAGAAGCGTGGCCTTACCCATTACGGTAAATGGAGCCCGCTGGGGAAAATCCGATTCCAGCAGAAACCAAGTCGGAAGGCTGGATCCCTAAGGTCGAAAGAATAACCAATCAGTTGACAGGGTTTCTAAAAATACCAGGCACGCATTGCCAAACCCAGGTTGCTTTTACTTTAGAGTAGGAACTCCATTTCCACGGGAGCACGAAGTTGGCAAGTTTGGTTCTGAGGCCGCGTGGAGCTGGTAGCTCTCCGGGGGCGCAAGGCCTCTGGGCGGACAGCGGCCCTGCGCCCCCTCAGCCGCTTTGGCTTCGAAGCAGAGCCCAGGTTCCTCCGCGAGGGCCGCAGCTCCGCCGTCGGAACCCGCGCGGGGGGCCGGCCCTCCCTCGCCCGGGTGAGGCTGGCCGCGCACGTCGGGCAGCCGCCCCGCCCGGCGCGCAGTCAAGCCTGCGCGGCCGGCGCCGTGAACCCCGGGCTCACCCCGCGCGTCTCCAGGCACCGGCCCAGCCGCCGTCCTAACTCGTTCCGACACCCCTGACGCCGAGTCCCGCGGGGGCCCCGAGACGCTGACCCCGGGCCTTCGCCCCTCCCCTAGGGACGGACGCGGCGTCCGGGGGGCGGAGGTCCGCGCTGCGGGGGGGAGGTGCCTCGGCGCGGGCCTCACGCCCGGACGGGGAGGGGGTGGGGGCGGAGCTGGACGGCCGACGCGCAGCCCGGGTGGCAGGCTCCCAGCCCCTCCTCGCGCGCCCCCCGCACAGTGCTCATGCGCGCGGCCAGGCCTTTATAGCGGCGGCGGGAGACGCACTTCCCGCACTCGGGCGCCGCCAGGAGGATCCCACTCAGGTGCGGACCCCTGGGCGTCCGGCGGTGGGCGTGCGGGTCCCTGACACCTGCCTATCCGAGTCTCTCCTTTGTCGTTCCCAGCTTCTTTCTGTCTTGATATCGCACCCCCTCTCCCGGGCCGGGGTTGCACATCGATGCTGGGTTTGGCTCGATTTGCAGCCAGAGCATCGCCTCCAGATAGAGAGGCGCAGGCTCCCGGGCAGCGGCCTCTTAGGTCACCTCCCCCCCTCCACCGCCCCTGGGTTTCCGAGGGGTGCGGGATCTCCAAGGGGAGGGCGGGCGCAGTGTGGTGGGGAAGTAGGGGCCTCCGTTCCCGGGAGCCTCCCTCGCAGTCTCCCTGTCTCCCAGGTCCGAGGAGCCCCTCCACTACCATGTCTGCAGCCTGGATCCCAGTTCTCTGCCTCGGTGGGTACGCGCCCCTCCCCACCCCCTTCCCGTCGCACCAAGCGGGGCGGAGGCTGGAGCCCCCCTCGCGCTGTCCTTTCTTCGCAGGTGTCTGTCTGCTGCTGCTGCCGGAGCCTGCGGGCAGCGAGGGAGCGGGTGAGTTGCGGGTTCCCCTGTTGGGGAAGCAGGGCTAAGTCCAGGCGGTGGGAGGGGTTGGGGGCCGGCAGGTAGAGGAGCACTCAGACTGAGCCCCTAGACCTTGGCCCCGGGGACCAAAGCTGGAGGGCGCACACCCATCCATACCCACGGCGTATCTACTCCGGCTTACCCATTTCTCCCACGCGAGGGGGCCCCTGGTTCCCGAAGGGGACGTTCTTCCCAAGGCGCGGAGAAGGAAGCGTCCCCGAATCTACACTCACATCGCGGGAGGCACCTGGCAAGCCGAGCATCGGCATCGAAAGGTCAAGGCAGGGGAGTATTCGTTGAGTCCTGCCGAGTGGCACACTAGTCTCGGGTTGTCTCCGGCGTTTGAGGTCAGGAAGAAGCCTCCCAGACCCGACTTCACACTGTCAGAGCTGACAGAGACAGAGATGCTTACATCCTTGTCCCACCTTGCTTGAACTCCTGGTTTCTAGGAGTACCCCCTATTTGTAGCCCATTTCATATTGGAGAGAGTCTAAAAACAGTTTGTTCCACATGTAAAAGTCCCAGTATGGGTGGGTGTGTTTTCTACAATATAAATGGCAAACTCTTTTACAAAATCTGTCGTGTTCTTCTTGAAAGGAGAAATGAGGGTAAGCATTGCACTGGGCTGTTTTCAGCACCCCACCCCCACCACACACACACACACTCTCTCTCTCTCTCTCTCTCTCCCCCCCCCTCCCTCCCCCTCTCTCCCTCACTCAAGTGAGTGTTGGCAGCTAAAGGCAGAGCCTCTGATGACCCGGAAAGTGGGAGGAAGGATTAAGGCTGTTTGATCACATGTATAAGGCTCACAGGTATGAGGCTACTGTTGTGGGTAAGGATTTTAACTTCCCCAGCAATCTAGAGTGTTTCAGAGCTAAGGAATCCGCATTTTAGCTGGCATTCTGCCTTCCCTTCCAATAGAGATGTATAGTTCAGGGTGCAGCTCAACATAGAAAGCTCATAGAAAAGGGTCATTGGTAGAGGCAGGCTACTCAAGTGGGCAGATGACCAGACAGTATTACTCTGTCTTGGAAAAAAAAAAAAAGAAAAGGTGCTCTTTTGGTTTTTTATTAACATTTGTTTCAAAAAGGTTTGGATAACCACAATTTCTTGTGTTTGAAAAATAGTATTTAATAACATTATTCTCAACTTAATATTTATAGTAAATTGATGAGTTAACATATTATATTGTTACTTGCTGCCAATAACTTGTGTCTACCAAACATCTTTTATAGTAAGAACTTCAATTCTTGATTAGTTTGGGTTGGTATGTAAAATTTGAGAGTATTAACACTTTTCTAAAAATGCATTCACTGCATGATAAATCTCTCTCGACAGATTTGGAGCAGAATTAAGCAGGTTCAATTCAGATAAAAATGCTTCACTTCATAGAGACTAACTTCCCTGTTTCCTATCCTGCAGGAGTTGGGCTGTGTGACCTAGGGCAAATTAACCCCATTGCTTTAATTTCTGCATCTGTAAAATGAGTGATTGAGCTAAAGGACATTTGTAAAGGGCAACATCTGTTCACTGGCTTGTTTAAATTAAGATACAGTTTTTGCAAACAATGAATCATGGAACACTACATCAAAAACTAATGTATGGTGATTTATATAACATAATGAAAATAAATTAATTAAGACACAATTTTAAGGCACTGCATTTGGAGAAAAACTGGTGTAAATGGTCCTCGAAGCAAAGGATGGGACCTTAGAGGTTTGTGCATGTGTCTATGAAAATGTTTCTCATTGGGGTGCCTGGGTGGTTTAGTCGGTTAGGCGTGCGACTCTTGATCTCAGCTTAGGGCTTGACCTCAGGATCGTGAGTTCAAGCCCTGCATTGGGCTGCACACTTGGTATGGAGCCTACTTTAAAAAAAAAAAAAAAAGGGAAATGTTCCTCACAGGCTCAGCCCAGATTTTAATATCTTTACCTCAGGCACCTGTGTCCATAGTTGTTTTAGTAACTGAGATTTTTATTTTTCTAGAATGAATTAATAAATGGTGAATGACTAATGTCATTTTCTAGTTCTGTTATATTTCCAACTATGTATTCCCAAACTGATAAGAATTGAGAAGATTCTTCCAATAGGCTTTGTAGTGGCTGAGGACTAGATTAAATTGGAAAACCGGTTTTTGGGTAGCTAAAATTTGGAATGGTGTGGAACCATACATACATTAATATTCTTAAGTGTAGAAACTAGGGAGATAAATCTTCAATCTCCTACCCTAGTTCCCACCCCACCCAACCCCTGACACCCCTCAGAATCCTAAGAATGTCACTACACTCCATCCTTTCTTTTCAGTTCCCATTGCTATCACATGCTTTACCCGAGGCCTGGACATCAGGAAAGAGAAAGCAGATGTACTTTGCCCAGGGGGCTGCGCTCTTGAGGAATTCTCCGTGTTTGGGAACATAGTGTATGCATCTGTTTCAAGCATATGTGGCGCAGCTGTCCACAGGTAAGCTGAACCACATAAGGGGAGAGAAATCCAAGTGTAATAATATCCTTTCCCTCTTTAGCCAAATGGACCCCCCACACACCTCCTTTCTTTTGGTACCAGTATTGGCCACAGAAGATGGATACATTTTTAAGGTTTCCCTGGATATCCCTGAAGCACCAGCAACACAAAGGAAGCTTTCTGACAAAAGGCAAATTGTATTATTTCTTGGTAGCTAGATCCCTATAATTTTAGAACATTCCTACTAATGTAATATATTAGTGAGTTTTTACTATGTGCTAGACATTGTTTTTAATTTCCGTGACAACTCTACAATTGTAGAGTAGGTACAATTTTATTCCATTTTACAGATGAGGAAACTGAACTCAGACAGTTGCCAACATCTTGCCACTGGTAGCAAGGGCCCAAACTGGAACTGAGAGCCCAGGCTGCCTCCAGAGCCCATATTCACCACCCACTCTGCTATCCTGCAAAGCTTTTTTTTTTTTTTTTAATGAAGTCCAAGGACATATAAAGTACCTTGGAAAACTAAGAAAATTATTTGGTTCTATTAACTCTGAATCTCTGAGCTGTAGGGAACAGGATCCTACAGGTATGTTCCTATCAACATTTAAGAAGTTTGACAGCACAATACCATTTCTCCCAGGCATATTTTGTACCTGTGTAAGCAAGTTTTTCAAAAGGCTGGCAGCATCCATATAGATCTTCCCTGATGAACTGTTTTCTTTTTTTTTCTTTTTTTTTTTTTTAAAGATTTTATTTATTTATTTTAGAGACAGAGCACAAGAGGGGGGAGCGGGAGAAGCAGACTCCCTGCTGAGCAGGGAGCCCGATGCGGGACTCGATCCTGGGACTCCAGGATCATGACCTGAGCCGAAGGCAGTTGCTTAACCAACTGAGCCACCCAGGCGCCCATCTTTTTTTTTTTTAATATTTTATTTATTTGACAGAGAGAGACAGAGAGAGAGGGAACACAAGCAGGGGGAGTGGGAGAGGGAGAAGCAGGCTTCCTGCCAAGCAGGGAGCCCGATGCGGGGCTCGATCCCAGGACCCTGGGATCACAACCCGAGCCGAAGCAGATGCTTAATGACTGAGCTACCCAGGCGCCCCGATGAACTGTTTTCCTGATTAATCAGAACAATAGATGTAACATGGCACTAGAAGTCAGTCAGATACCCCTGAAAAAGCGTGGGTGGAATATCAGCTGCTTTTCTGTGTTACAGGGGAGTAATCAGCATCTCAGGGGGACCTGTGCGAATATATAGCCTACCAGGTCGAGAAAACTATTCCTCAGTAGCTGCCAATGGCGTTCAGTCTCAAACACTTTCCAGATGGTCTGCTTCTTTCACAGTGACAAGTAGGTACAATTACATTATTCTTACTTTTGTGTAAATATTGCTTCACCCTCCCCCCACCAAAAAAAAAGTTCTCTGTTTTTCTTAGTCCAATCTCTTTGACTCTGATGAAAAAGCCTACAATCAAAACTCAGAGGAGTCAACAATGGGTTAGAGTCAGGGGACTGGACAAGCAAAGACCCACTCAAGATAAACTTGGCTGCATGCGAGAAAAATAATCTTGCTGTTAGAAGATTGCAGTAGAAGCTTGCATTGTCTGAAGTGTCTGGGTGGCTCAGTCAGTTAAGCATCTGACTCTTGATTTCAGCTCGGGTCCTGATCTTAGGGTCATAAGTTCAAGCCCCATG